GGCCTGCCCTCGTGGAGTTGGGACAGTCCTCAGTCTTGTCCCAAGCCTGGAAGAGGCGAAGACCCCTCCAACCACAGGGGTCTCCATCAGCACAGACACGGCATCTGCACCGGGAACCAGTCGTCTGTGAGGAGTAAGGAAGTTCTCCTCTCAAAGCCACGCAAACCTCCAAGCAGCCACCAGCAGGTGGTGAAAGTGGAGGAAAAAGGCCTAGGTCAGGAGTCAGAACACCGCATTCCTCTGCTTGGTAGCTATGGAGACACTAACCACATGGTGCTCGGCACCCTCCTGTAACATGGAGCTCGGAGTAATAACCATCTACCTAGCGATGTGCCAGCCGCTCTGGGAGCACCTGGCGTGTGCCATCTCACTTCACCCTAGCAACCTCATGAGAAGGCTCGGTCAGGCTCCTCATCTGCCCTCTTACACTCTGCTGCCCCTCCTAAGGTTGAACCTTCCCAGCTGGGTCACTACAAGGAGGATTCAGTGGGCTAAAGCTTCTAACAGAATGCATGGCACATGGCTAGTGCCCCACAAACCCATAAACCTTATCTCCAAGTCCTTACACTGAAGCGTTAACCTATAAAAGCCTAGTCTGGGGGCCAGCACTGTGGCGTAGCAGGTTAAAGCCACCACCTGCAGTGCTGGCATCCCGTATGGGTGCCGGTTCTGGTCCTGCTCCACTTCTGATCCAGCTCTCTGCTGTGGCCTGGGAAAGTAGAAGATGACCCAAGTCCTTGGGCCCCTGCACCTGCGTGGGAGACCTGGAAGAAGCTCCTGGCTCCTGGCTTCATATCAGCACAGCTCTGGCTGTTGCAGCCTCTGCCTCTGCCTCTCTGTAACTCTTTCAAATAAAGAAATAAATTAAAAAAAAAAAAAAAAAAGTCTAGTGTGAAATGGCACTGCTCCAGTTGGTGGCACCTTCGGGCTTCTACACCCCACCCTTCCTGGTGGGTCAGCTGCAAAAGCAGGACAAGATCCTGTACTTAGGGCCCTGTGCTCAGTGCCTGAGAAACAGACGGAACGTCCCACACGGAGTCAGGCAGACCCGATCGGAGTCCCAGCCCTGCCATTCACTCTGCTCGTTCAGCCTCCTGAGCTTCCGGTTCCTTGTAAGCAACAGGGGCTGAGCCATGACCTAAGTCCCATTTCTGGATCAAAGTGGAGTCTCAGTCAATGCTAGCCACCCAGGTCAAAGGGCTGGACTTCCACAGCACCCCAAGGCCACCTTCAAGGTGGGAGAGTGCTTCCGTGTGCAGAGGAACGGGTGGCCTGCAGTCACTGCCACAGCCGGAGGGGCACAGAGCAGGCACACCCCAAAGGCCCGGCTCTTCAGTCAGCATGCTTGCGGGTTTACTAAACAGTAACCTGTATCTAACAGAGACGCCCTGTGAGAGGGGGCTAAGAGTGCATCCTCCCCATGAGCGCCAGAGCAGACACTTCACACACACACCCCCCTCGAGCCTCAGATACCCCCTTGCTGCCTCTGTATGTACCCAACAGGCCACCTGGGAAGCAGGATTCTGAGAGGTAAGGGTTATCTGCCTTGCCTACTTCCCTGTGCTAACCCACCCTCCACTGTGCTCTCCTACCGCCCCAGACAATGTAAAAGTATAGGCCTATAAACGTGAATATCTGTTTTCAAAGTCACAGCTTATCAGCATCAGCTCCTTAACCCCAAGCACTGATTGTTACTTTTTGCAAGCACTGCCCCAAAGAGGCTCTCTGGGTTGAAGTGCACAGGGCTGTGTCCCCTCCCCCTCCAGAGTGGGAGCTGAACTAGCTATCCTCCCACCCCAGAAGACCAGGCCCCACCCCTCACAGTCAACCCTACTGCTTTACCTGGAACAACATGAGGGCCTTCTCCACGGCTCCCGGCAGGCAAAACCACCCGGAAGCTGGAGCAACAAACACGAGGCGGCCTCCCCAGGTCCCTGCGCTGCCCCTGCCCCGCCGTCCAGCACCCGGGACTCTAAATGGGGCTCTGGAAGGCGGAAAGCACTTACACAGGGGTACCGCTACTATCTGCAGAGGGAACCCAAATAATGCCGCTGGCCTACTGAGGAGAAAAGTGATGCCAACGAAAACCCTGCAACTCCAAAGCCAAATGCACGTCCAAGCCTCACGCTGCTGCCTCCCCACGGCTAACAGATGCAGCTATCTGCATTTCAACCTGCTGAAGGGGCCGGTGCTGGGGCACAGCAGGCTGAGTTTGAGTCCCTGCTGCTCTGCTTCCACTCCAGCTCCCTACCAATGCTCCTGATGGGGATGGCCGAGGTGCCTGAGCCCCTGCCACCACGTGGGAGACCAGGACGGAGCCAGCCCTGGTTACTGCAGCCATTTGGGGAGTGAACCAGTGGATGGACGATCTCCATCCGTCTTTCTCTCTATTATTCTGTCTTTCAAATAAATATTTTTTAAAAACTTACTGTAAGACACCACAGTGATCACTTCTCTTACCTATGATGCAGCCGCACACGCCACCTCTTTTGTCTGAGCCCAACAGTCTATGCCAGCTCATCAGAGTATTCAAACAGGAGATAAACTTGACAAATATGTAGTCAGAAATTACTTACAAGCCTAGGGGATACCAGATACAAAGTTACTGACAGGACAGGTATGAAGTCCCAGTGGCTAAGTTCATGGCCGTAGACATATCCCCAAAGCCTTCCTGCCTTCAGTGCCAGACGCTGTTCTACGCCCTAGGGATACAGCCCTGCCCTTGGCGCTCAGCGCTGAGAAACCCCTGCTCGTGATGCTGGCATCCCATGGTGCAGCACTGGTTCTAGCCCAGCTGCTCAGCTTCCGATCCAGCTCCCTGCTAACACACCTGGCAGAGCAGCAGAGCACGACACAAGCACCTGGGCCCCTGCCACGCACGTGGGACATCCAGATTGAGCACCTGGCTCCTGGCTTTGGCCTGTTGCAGCCATTTGGAGAGCAAACCAGTGGATGGAAGATCTCTCTCTGTCCTCCCTCTAACAAATGTTTTTAAAAATTCATATCCACCGGCCAGCACTGCAGCTCACTAGGCTAATCCTCTGCCTGTGGTACCGGCACCCCAGGTTCTAGTCCTGGTTGGGGCGCTGGTTCTGTCCCATAGACTCCTGAAGGGTCCAGCTCTCTGCTGTGGCCCAAGAGGGCAGTGGAGGATGACCCAACTCAAGAATCCCATCAGCATCACGCGAGACTGGTGCAATGGGGGGGGGGGGGGGGTTTTGCCAGATGCACTTCCCCCACAGAGCAGCCCTCCCACAGCCTACTTCACCTTCTGAGCCTTGCCTTCACCTGTACAGAACGGGGCCAGCGACCCACACGGGCTAAGCCTGGACAGGTGACGCACACAGCAGTGAGTGGCAGACAGGCCATTTTTCCCAGCCCTTCCGTGGTTTCGGACTGCTCAAGTGACAGCAGAGAACGGGGCTCTGGAGAGGCCCTGGGAGTCCCTGCCGCCCTGTGCACTGAGCCCCACCTGGCCACTCCACCCATCCTGCCCTGTGCCTGCCCTGAGAGCACACTTTCAAAACTGAGTGCAAAGCACTCACCCAGAACTGTGCTGCACAAGTCCTCCACCCAGGCCTGGAGCCGGTCCCACCCCTCAAACAGCCAGCTTTCAGCCAAAGCTAATGGCCCCAAAAGCATTAAGAAAGACACAGCCCACGTTTCCAATCAATACACAGGAAAACACCAAGACAAAACTCGGTCGCCCTAGCTAGCAGCAACCCAGCACCATGAAACAAGGGACCAGGATCCTCCAAGCCCTCTGAGGCCCAAAGTCCACAGACACACACAGGCCTGTACTGGATGGGAAGCGCCCACACCTGGCCAGGTGCAGCGGGCAGGGGTCCTCGCCCTTCAACCCAGGCGCCCCGCCTGCCCTGCAGAAGGTTCCAAAGCCGACAAGGGGCAGGCTTAACTGTGGGGGCCTCTCTGAAACCGCAGGCTCCTCCAAATGCCAGGACACACAGCCCCGGCGGGCCGGCTCACCTGATCCGACAAGCCTCCATAGTCCGCAGTTCCAACCCTCACCAGCTGACAGTTCAGGGGGAACGGGAGGCTGCGCCTGCTGGGATGCATCGTGTCCAGGCCATGTGTGGGGCGCAGGCCGGGCGGCACCCCAGGGCTGGGCCGGCCTCACAAGGGCGATTGTGCGTTCACCCCGCCCTGTCGGCTCCCCCTCGCCCGACGCTGAGCCCACTCGGCCCCGCACGCTCGCCCGGCGGCACGGGCCCTGACCCGCCTTCCGGGCACACGGGTGCCCCTTTCCCCCGCTCGCTCAGGAGGCCTCCCCCAGACGAGGCTACCCTCAGGGCTGAGAGGGCTCGGCACCAGGACCACCCCTCCCCGGCCCGGGGGCGCCCCAGGTACAGGGCGGGGACGCCGGGGTCGCCGGCAGGGCAGGGAGCAGGGCCCGGGCCGGAGGTCAGGCCGGGGCCGGGGCCGCAGCGGCAGGCGCAGGCTGCGCTGAGAAGTCGGGGGATGTGCGGGTCGGGGGCGAAGAGACCCCGGAAGAGAAGATTCGGGCAGGGTCCGTGGAGGAGGAGTCGGCGGGGTCCAGACCGAGGCCACAGAGTTTGGGGGGAGGGGGCCTAGCCTGGGAGCCACGGCGGCCTGGCCAGGCCCGGGCCGCGGGCACCTGGACCAGGAGGACGGGGGCACGCCTAGGTGACCGCAGGTGGTGCCCGGCCGGGTCCCGGGGAACGGAGGGTCTCGCCCGGGCTCTGGGGGTTAGCCGGGCCTAGGCGCAGAGGGGGGCTCCAGCCTGCGTCCAGGCGGGGCGGGAGGGGGCGACGGGGTCATCGCCCCGCCTGGCCCCCCGCGCCCTCGGCCCCTCCCGAGCGCCGAGGGGTGGGGTCCACCTAGGGTCCGGGACCCCGCCCCTCCCCCACCCCGGGAACCCATCCTCCTTCGGGCCAGGGGCTGGCGGGGGGAGGGGCGCGCGAGCTCCGGGAGGCGGGGGAGGCGGGCGGGGGTATGCGTGTGCGTGGGGGGGTCTTTACCATGGCGGCGGCGGCGGCGGTCCCGGTCCCGGCGTCTGTGGCTCTCCCCCCCGCAGCAGGGCCCTGCGCTTCCACTTCCCCGGGTGCCCAGGAGTGAACATCCGGGTCAGCGCCCCCCTCCCCCCGCGCCGGGCCGCCGCCACCTTCCTTCCCCGCCCCGGCCGGGCCCGGGCCCGCCCCCCACGCCGCCAGCGCCCGGCCAATGAGCGCGCGGGGCCGCGGCGATCGCCAAGTATGGAGCGCGGCGCGGGGGGCGGGGCTCCGGATAGGGACGCGGGGGCGGGGCCCGGCGCGGGCGGGGCGCGGCGGCCGGGGGCTTCCGGGGGCTTCTCCCCGCTCGCGCGCCGGGCCGCGGGCTCTGAGGCTGCAGGAGCAGGCCGCGGCGCTGGAGGGGCCGTGCCCACAGACGCGCACCGGCTGGGGGTGCGGAGGGCGCCGCGTGGGCCCCACCCGGCGCGCGCGCGGGGTCTTGCGGCGGACCCGGGCCTGGGGGGCTCGGCGCCTGCCGCGTGCGGTGGGACCCTGCGCCTGAGCCTGGGTCTAGCGGTACCGCTCCTCGGGCCGCCCCGTCTCTTGAGCACCTCCTGTCATGCCAGGCCTCGCTTTAGCACCGCGAGGTGACAGGTGAATAGAAGACCCTGCCCTCCTGGCTACCTGTGACAGGTTGGTCGTGCGCCGCACAGGTAAAGAGATGAGCACACTGGACTCCGCAAACGGTGGGACTCGGGATGCAGCCCGTTGGTCCAGGGGGAGCTGCGAAGTGGCTCAGGGCCTCTGCCTCTCTGTCTGCAGATACCTGCTGTCGGCCCAGGAGGTGGGAGACCCGGGGTGCCGGGCCTGCTGGCAGCATCCGCCCTGCCTGGCTTGCTCTCTCTGGCTGGAATTAGGTAGTAACCGGTGGGCCAATGACAAGCATTGTTGCTGTGAACCAGGCCCTGTCCAAGGCCCGCTCTGCACACAACCGGTGGCCAAGTAAAAGCTTGCCCAGGTAACCTGTGGCACACAACGCGGCAGGTCAGCCCCATGAGAGTGTCACAGACCAGTAGGACAGGATCAGAGACGGGCGTGCCCCTAGGAACTCTCGCTGAGTAAATATTTATTGGCTCCCAGCTCCGTGCCAGGCTCTGAGAAGCCGTGAGCAAAATAGCCGGTGTTGGCCGGGAGAGAGTCAACTGCCAACATCAATGTTCAAAAAGTTGGTGGGGAAGATGGAATTTAAAGATGACTTTGGGGCCGGCGTTCTGGCCCCGTGGGTTAAGCTGCTGTTTGAGATGCCTGCACAGCCCTCGGCGTGCCTGGTTTGAGTCTTGGCTGCTCCGCTCCGGATCCAGCTTCCTGCCGATTCCTCCTGGGAAGCCCCAAATGATGACCCGAGTGCCTGGGCCCCTGCTGCCCACGTGGGAGACCCAGAGGGAGAGATGGACTCCTGGGCTCAGCCTGGCCGAGCCCTGCCTGTTGTGGGCATTTGGAGAATGAACCGTTGGATGGAAGATCTGTTTATCTTGCTTTACCTTTCAAGTTGATTAAAAAAAAAATAAGTGTTTGATGAGAAAGATAAGCTTTTAGGGGGTGGTGTTTGGTACGGCAGTGCCTGCATCCCATACTGGAGTGCCTGGGATCCAGTCCCAACTCTGCTTTCCATCCAGCTTCCTCCTGGATGTTCCCTGTGGGAATCTGGGCTCCCAGCCCCAGCCCCAACCGTGGCAGTTGCAGGCATTTGGGAGTGAACTAGCAGGCGGATGAAAGAGGATTTCTTGCTCTTGTACTCTCACTTTGCCTTTCAAAGAAACTTTTTTTTTTAAAGATCTGTTTGAAAGGCAGAGTTACAGAGAGAGAGAGGTCTTCCATCCACAGGTTCACTCCCCAAATGGCCGCAATGGCTGGAGCTACGCTGATCCAAAGCTGGGAGCCAGGAGCTTCTTCCAGGTCTCCCACATGGGTGCAGGTGCCCAAGCACTTGGGCCATCTTCTACGGCTTTCCCAGGCCACAGCAGAGAGCTGGATGGGAAGTGGAGCAGCCAGGACTCGAACTGGCACCCATATGGGATGCCAGCACTGCAGGTGGCAGCTTTACCCAAATAAACTTTTTTTTGCTATTTTGCCTTAAAAAGGTAAGTGTATAATGCATGCATAGCTTTTTGGTAATAGGCGCTCTCCATGAATTGAGCAGGCCTCTCACAGTGTTGGGAGAGGTGTGAAGAAGAGCGAGAGGGAGGGGGCGTGCAGCAGGCTAGCAAAGCGTAGCAGCGATTCGGTGGGTGCTCAGGGAACTTGACTCTGCGAGTAACATCTCACCAGACAGCGGGAGAGGAGGAGCGAGCGAGCCCGCGGGCAGCACAGGCACAGGGAACAGCAAGGACAGGGATTCTGCCTTTCGATTGCGACTTGGCTGCATGTTCAGGGAAGCAAGAGGCCAACGGGGCTGACCTGGGTTGAGTTTGAGTGTGTGCAGTGCAGTGACGTGGTCTGACCTGGGCTCTAAAGTCATCCTGAGGGCGGCCGGCGCTGTGGTACAGCAGGTAAAGCTTCCGCTTGCAGTGCCGGCATTCCATATGGACACCGGTTCGCGTCTCAGCTGCTCCACCTCCTAGCCAGCTCACTGCTAATGCACCTGGGAAAGCAGCAGAAGATGGCCCAAGTGCGTGGACTCCTGTACCAGCGTGGGAGACCTGGAAGAACTTCCTGGCTTCAGCTTGGCCCAGCCCCGGCCATTGCAGCCATTTGGGGAGTGAACCAGCAGATGGAAGACCTCTCGCTCTCTGTCTCTCCTACTCTTTCAATAAGTAAATCTTAAAATACAAAACTCACTGATGCAGCCATGGTGAAGAGACCCCTTGGGATGCCCACATCCCGTACCAGAGAACCTGCATTCCAGTCCCAGCTCTGCTGCTAATCCCAGCTTCCTGCTGTGCACACCCTGGCAGGCAGCAGGTGACAGCTGGAGCACTTAGGTCCCTGCCACCCACATGCGAGACCAGGCATGAGTCTGGGCTTCTAGCTTTGGCCTACTGCTGTGGGCATTGGGCAGTGAAAGAGCAAATGGAAGATAATTCTTCCTCCACCCCCTGCCTTTCAAATAAATTAAAAATAATAATTAAAAAAAAATAAAAAGCAGTGATGGGGCTGGCATTGTGGCATAGCAGATAAAGTCACTGCCTATGACACTGGCATCAAGTCCTGGCTTCTCCACTTCCAATCCAACTCCCTGCTAACAGCCTAGGAAAAGCAGCAGAAGATGACCTGAGTGTTTGAGGCCCTGCCACCCACTTGGGAGAACAGGAAGAAGCTCCTGGCTTCTGGCTTCGGATTGGTCCAGCCCCAGCCTCATGGCCATCTAGGGAGCAAACCAGAAGACGGAAGGTTTCTCTCTCCTTCCCTTCTTCCATCTCTCTCTTTCAAAAATAAATAAATCTTAAAAAAAAGAAAGGCACCGAGTATGATATTAAAACTGTTAGCTTGATCAATAGTGGGAGGATTTGCCATTTTAAAATTATTTGAAAGGCAAAGTGACAGAGGCGGGCACCAACATCCCATATGGGTGTCGGTTTGTGTCCTGACTGCTCCTCTTCCTATCCAGCTCTCTGCCTGTGGCCTGGGATGATGGTCCAAGTGCTTGGGCCCTTGCACCCATGTGGGAGGCCAGGAAGTAGCTCCTTGCTCCTGGCTTCGGGTCGGCCCAGCTCCAGATGTTGCAGGCACTTGGGGAATGAACCAACAGATGGACGACCTCTGTCTCCCTCTAATTCTGTCTCTCAAATAAAAAAATAAGTTTTTTTTTGTTTTTTGTTTTTTGTTTTTTTTTAAGAAAAGCAGAATGACATAGGGAGAAAGGAAGAGTGAGAGAGTGAAAGAGATCTTCAATGGCCACAACAGTCAGGCCTGGGCCAGGCCCAAGCCAGGAGTCAGGAACTCCATCCAGGTCTCCCACATGGCTGGTGGGGGTCCGTGTACTTGGGCATCTTCCACTGCTTACCTGGGTACATTAGCAGGGAGCTGAATTGGAAACAGAGCAGCCGGAAGTCACTGACAATGGGATGTCAGCATTGCCGGTGAAGGCTTAACCACAATGCCCACCCCAAGTTGCCTTGTATTGCATTGGGCAAGTTTGCAGCAGAAACAGGGTTTTCTGGGGCGTGGGGCAGTAGGAATCAATTGGGTGCAAATTCTGTTTGAGATGCTAATGGACAAGGAAACTGAAGTTTGGAGTTAAAAGTGAGAACTGGTGACAGACTTACAAGAATGCCAGCTAGTAAATGGTATTTAAAAACACGAGTTAGCTGGCTGAACTTACTCAGGGGTGAGCGTAGAGAAGATAAAGAGGAACCAGCAAGAAGCTGAGAAGGACTTACTGGAAGCAGGAAGGGGAAGAGATGGTGGTGTCCCCCAGGGATTAAGAGCAGGAGGGAAAGTTAGGAAAAGGGTGCAGTTTTATCTCTGGCGAAATCTACACCCTGACACCCTCCTAGGCTCTAGCCCCCACCGCCATTGCTGGAAGCCAGGGACCACAGGGCCCAACCACCGGTGCCAAGCTCCACCCCACCCTAATGGGATTCGCTGCTCCTGCTTCCTGCCCACCCTCCGGCAAGGTTTTAAAAGGACCTGTTCCTGCCGGCGCCGCGGTTCACTAGGCTAATCCTCTGCCTTGTGGCGCCGGCACACCAGGTTCTAGTCCCGGTCGGGGTGCCGGATTCTGTCCCGGTTGCCCCTCTTCCAGGCCAGCTCTCTGCTGTGGCCAGGGAGTGCAGTGGAGGATGGCCCAAGTGCTTGGGCCCTGCACCCCATGGGAGACCAGGAGAAGCACCTGGCTCCTGCCATCGGATCAGCGGCCATTGGAGGGTGAACTCCGGATCAGCGCGGTGCGCTGGCCGCAGCGCACCGGCCGCCGCGGCCATTGGAGGGTGAACCAACGGAAAAAGGAAGACCTTTCTGTGTCTCTCTCTCACTGTCCACTCTGTCTGTCAAAAAAATAAAAAATAAATAAATAAATAAAAGGACCTGTTCCTGAACACGTGGCCCTCTCTCTCTCCTCTCTTACTCTCTCTTTTTCCTTCCTCGCCCCTTCCCTCCGGCCTGCTGGGTTTTCTCCAAAAAACCCTTACTCCGGTGTATGGTGTGTTTTGTGGCGATCTTACAGGAAAAGTTTTCTAAGTAGGTGACACTTGAACCAGCCACTGGAAGAATATGAGACTGAAAGGAAGTGTTGGGCCCGGCATTGTGGCACAGCGGGTTAGGTCACCGTCTGTGACACT